ATGGTACATATATACAATGGACTATTACTCAGCCATTAAAAAGAATGAAAAAATGCCATTTGCAGCTATATGGACGGATGGAACTAGAGAGTGTCATTCTGAGTGAAGTATGACAAAGTGAAATCAGACAAAGAAGGAGAAATATCATATGACATCCCTTATTTGTGCAATCTAAAAAGAAATTATACAAATGAACTTATTTAGAAAGCAGACTCACAGAACTAGAGAATAAATATATAGTTGCCAGAGGGAAAGAACAGGGGGAAGATATAGGGCATTTGGGATTCAACATGTATACACTCCTATACCTAAAATAGATAACCAACAAGGTCCTACTGTATCACACAGGGAACTCTGTTCAATGTTATGTGGCAGCCTGAATGGGAGAGGAGTCTGGGGGAGAATGGATACATGCATATATATATAGCTCTGTCCCTTCGCCTTCCACCTACAATTATCACAACATGGTTAATCAGTCACACTCCAATATAAAATAAAATCTTTTTTAAAAAAAATGATGGAGGACTTCCCTGGCAGCACACTAGAGCCCTCATGCCACAACTACTAAGCCCAAGTACTGCAACTACTGAAGCCCATACCCCTAGGGCCTGTGTCTGCAATAAGAGAAGTCGCCACAATGAGAAGCATACATACTAAAATGAAGAGTAACCCCCACTAGCTGCAACCAGAGAAAGCCTGAAGCAAAAAAAAGCAATGAAGGCCTGGTGAAGGCAAAACTGAATAAATAAAAATAATTTTTAAAAAATTTTAGAAAGAGAAAATGAAAGTAAAATAGACCACAATGATATCATTATTAAAAAAAAGAAACATTGGATGTTCTCTGGTGGTGGTATGACATACTCAAAGTGCTGAAAGACAAAACTGTCAACCAAAAGTTCTGTATCAAGCAAACTACCTCTCAAAAGGAGAGCAAAAGATAGATATACTTCTCCCCCCAATTTGTCCTACGAAAAAAATTCATTGCTGGGAAATCTGCCCTATAGAAAAAACTGAAGGGAATTCTTCAAACTGAAGGAAGTAAACTTAGATTGCAATTCTAATCTCCACATTAAAGCAAATGCTCTGATGAAGATACAAGACCATGTAAGTGTGTATATATCGTCTCCTTCTTTCTCTTAATAAACATAAAAAGCAAGCATGTAAAAAAATGTATAGAACTCTAGTCCTAGGCATTTGTCATATAGATAATATATTTGAGGGAGTCAGTGGTATTATATCCTTGAGATGACAGGGTTCAACGATGGCTTAAGTCCTTGGGGCCCAGGGTTCTATAGCAGCAAAGCCTGGAGGTGATGGGCCAAGATTCCAATTCTGGCCCTAGTGAAAGTCTCAGAGCAGCAGCAACGTGTTCCCAGTGATAGCCTGTTAAAGCCACAGGTCAAATCCACGGTGTGGGGTGCAGAGCCACAGCAATGTGGCCATAGTAATCACGGATCAGAACCCTGACTAGGACCCAGGGTGAGGAACAGAGTAGCAGCACTTTGATTTTTCTGTTCACTCAGTCATGTCCAACTAACTATGCAATCCAGTGAACAGCAAGCAACACGCCAGGCTTCTCTATGCTTCACCATTTCCCAGAGTTTGGTCAAACTCATGTCTATTGAATTGAGGATGCCATCCAACCATCTCATCCTCTGTCACCCTCTTCTCATCCTGCCCTCAATCTTTCCCAGCATCAGGATCTTTTCTAATGAGTCGGCTCCTCATCTCAGGTGGCCAAAATATTGGAGCTTCAATTTCAGCATCAGTCCTTCCAATGAATATTCAGGGTCGATTGCCTTTAGGATTGACTGGTTTGATCTCCTTGCTATTGAAGGGATCTCAAGAGTCTTCTCCAGCACCATCGTTTGAAAGCATCAGTTTGAAGGCACTCAGCCTTCTTTATGGTCTAACTCTCACATCTGCACATGACGACTGGAAAAACCATAGCTTTGACTATATGGACCTTTGTCAGCAAAGTGATATCTTTGTTTTGGAATATGCTGTCTAGGTCTGTCATAACTTTTCTTCCAAGGAGCAAGTGTCTTTTAATTTCATGGCTGCAGTCACAATCCACAGTGATTTTTGAGCCCAAGAAATTAAATATCTGCCCCTGTTTCTATTTTTCCCCATTTGCCATGAAGTGATGGGACCAGTGCCATGATCTTAGTTTTTTCAATGTTGAGTTTTAAGTGGCAGTTTACCCCAGCAATGATAGGCTAAAACCATTCTGACTTAGAACCCAGAAATGGTGTATAAAATAGCAGCTCAACCTACGTAATAGCCACTCAAAGCCACAACTAGGAATACAGAGTTAGGTCCAAATAAATAGCAGCATTGCCCTAGTTATGGCCAGACAAAGCACTAACTTAGTACCAGGGGGCAGAGCACAGAGCAACAGTTCCAATCTCATAGAAGTCAAAGCACTATGACATCTCATCCATGGCAAGCAGGATACAGGAGTGGTGGGGCCCCAAAGTCAGGTCTCACCACAGTGACATTTCCGACCTCAAGAAAGATGCAAAAGCAAGGACTCTGGGCAGCTCTGTCGAATGGAATCAGTGCTGGTGAAGACTGTAAGTCCTTAGTGTCTAAAATCTGCACACACCTATAATGGTGAGGCTTACTGGGATTCTCTTGCTGTCCTTTTCCCCATAGGGTGAAATCCCTTTGAAGGAATCTCTGCTGGTGCCAAGTTCCTCTGAACTAAAGGATGGGGTAATGTAGGTAAAATCTTTCCAAGCTTTTCTGCACAGTCATCCTCAGGTTTTGCAATCTGCAGAGCTTGTGAAACTTCTTCATTGTCATCCAGAACTTTCCCAAAGTAACTTATATTAGTTTGTAGTTGTTCACTTATTGCTTTTGTTGTTTTTGTAAGGGATGCAAGTGTCAGAAATTCCTAAGTTTCCATCTTGTTGCCGTCTCCTTATCTCTAATTCCATGTCAAGGAGAAATTCTTTTTTTTTTTTTTTTTTATTTTTATTAGTTGGAGGCTAATTACTTTACAACATTGCAGTGGTTTTTGTCATACATTGAAATGAATTAGCCATGGGTTTACATGTATTCCCCATCCCGGTCCCCCCTCCCACCTCCCTCTAAGGAGAAATTCTTACTTGCTTTTGTTTTTACACTAGTCTTCTCTCTTACACAATATAGTTGATCTGCATGTGCAAGGTCTTTGCTTTTTGGATGGGTGACAGCATTGAGAAAACAAAAATAAACACATTGTATAAACATGAACTATTCTACACTTTACTATTTCACTTACTTTCCACAACTGCTGACTGCTCATATAAAGTCACTACTAGAGGTGTAGGAGTTATAATTTAACATCATGATCAATTTCTCCTTGGATATAAACATGAATGATGGCAAAAGGATACAGCAATTTTTGAAAAGTTCTGCATATGAATACGATGTCTATGAAATGGCTCTCATTTCTGCTGCTGCTACAGCTGACTTGCTACTTCAACTCTGGAAATTGTGGAAAGGTGCTGGTGTGGCCAGTGAAATATAGTCACTGGATAAATATAAAGACATTTCTGGAAGAACTGGTCTCAAGGGGTCATGAGGTGACTGTTATGACATCTTCAGCTTCCATTTTTCATTAATACCAGAAAAGAATTTGGTATCAAATTTGAGAATTTCCCTGTATCTTTAACTAAAGATGATTTTGAGTATATTTTCCAGTATTTGCTTGAGAAATGGACATATATGGAAAAAGATTCATTTTTGTCATATTTTTCAGCAGTGCAAAGTTTATTTTGGAAATATTCTGATGTTACCATGAATATGTGTAAAGAAGCTGTTTCAAACAAGACACTTATAACAAAACTACAGGAATCAAGTTTTGATGTCATTCTTGCAGATGCCATTGGACCCTGTGGTGAACTGCTAGCTGAGATACTTAAAGTACCTTTAGTGTACAGTCTCCGCTTCTCTCCTGGCTTTTCAATTGAAAAGTATAGTGGGGGGCTTTCATTTCCACCATCCTATGTACCTGTTATTATGTCAGAATTAAGTGATCATATGACATTCATGGAGAGGGTAAAAAATATAATATATGTACTTTATTTTGACTTTTGGTTCCAGGCATTTAATGAGAAAAAGTGGAATCAATTTTACAGTGAAGTACTAGGTAAGTCATGTTTTTAATTGGTAGCATGAAGTCCTAACTTTCCTAGTGTCTTGGAAAATGAATTTGTATAAAGTCACAAAATTTTGTCTCATAAGTGAAACAACAAAATGAAAATATAAAATTATCTAATAAATATATAAAAATATTAAATTATAGAATAAGGTACAACCCTGTTGCCCATTACTTGTCCAGACACTTCAGGAAGTCATAAACCACAAATTTGAAGCACTTAGGTATTTTCCAAGCAGTTATGTATTCATATGACTAAACTTCCTTTTCTAATGTAAAAAAAGTCACTAAAAACCTCATAAAGTGTCTCAATAAAAGAAGACAGATAGATTGAAGTATACAAATATCTGTAGCACAAGTATCTAGGTAGCATTTAGAATTTTTTTTTTCTATTTGTGTACCTCGGCTTCTGTATTATGTTATGTTCTATTATATAATGTGACAGGATATGATAAGATATAATATGATATTATATGCCACTGTTGTTGCTTAGTCATTAAGTTGGGTCCAACTCTTTGCAACCCCATGGACTGCAGCATGCCAGGCTCCTCCATCCATGAGATTCCCCAGGCAAGAATACTTGAGTGGGTTGCCATTTCACTCTCCAGGGGACCTTCCCAACCCAGGGGTTGAACCCATGTCTCCTGCAATGACAGGTGGATTCTTTTCCAATGAGCCACCAGGGAAGACATGTACTATACACATTCATATTTATTTGCTTTACCAGAATACGTACACTTTCAAGTATCTTTGACTATATCATTCCAAGCTCCTTTCAAAAAATTAGCTAATATACTCACATGACAATTTTATCATTTCATCTAACTCTTGTTGTTTTTACTTTTCATTGTAGGAAGACAGACTACATTATCAGAGACAATGGGAAAGGCTGAAATGTGGCTCATTCGAACCTACTGGGATTTTCAATTTCCTCACCCACTACTACCAAATTTTGAATTTGTTGGAGGCCTTCACTGCAAACCTGCCAAACCCTTGCCTAAGGTTACCTATTCCTGTTTATTGTGTTTTGTTTACTTTGCATTTTTGATAAGAGTAATCCTACATTATTTATTTAGAATGCTCAGTTATAATGAGAGAGATGTGGGATGCTAGATAATGGCCTGCCAATTAGAAACTCTTATATTTATTTCTATAGCAACACAAGTATCTAAATTTCAGTATCAATACAGAATAAAGTGGGATCAGAGGGACAATTTGAGAATATGACAGTAAAAATATGACTTTCATTATTCAGCACATAGTAAAGAATGATATTTAGGAGAATTATAAAATAAAAAGAATAATTTTTAAAATGACTAGCATATTCTAGAAGTAAGTGTTAATATGCAGAGAAATGGTGTAAATACAGTTTCTGCCACCAACCACTCTACTGGAAACATAGAATACCAATGAGTAATAAAAATTGTGTAAAAATTGTTATAATAAGGGAAGACCACAATAATAAGGAAACACCCAGCATGAATTATAGAAAGTGTCTCTGAAGCACTGATATTAAGATTGAGATCTAAAGGATGTTCAGGAATAAGTAGAAGAGATAGGGAAGATGTGGAGGAAGACTCAAAAGGAAAGCTGGTAGTATAGTAATGATGGTACCAAAGAAGTCCGACACCACCCTTAGGGCAGAAAGAGAAAAAGAACTAAAGAGCCTCTTGGTGAAAGTGAAAGAGAAGAGTAAAAAGTTGGCTTAAAGCTCAACATTCAGGAAATTAAGATCATCATCTGGTCCCATCCCTTCATGGCATATAGATGGGGAAACAGTGGCAGACTTTTTTTTTTTCCATTTATTTTTATTAGTTGGAGGATAATTATAATATTGTAGCGGTTTTTGCCATACATTGACAGATTTTATTTTTGGGGGGCTCCAAAATCACTGCAGATGGTGACTGCAGCCATGAAATTAAAAGATGCTTATTCCTTGGCAGGAAAGTTATGACCTGCCTAGACAGCATATTAAAAAGCAAAGATATTACTTTGCCAACAAATGTCAGTCTAGTCAAGGCTATGGTTTTTCCAGTAGTCACGTATGGATGTGAGAGTTGGACTATAAAGAAAGCTGAGTGCCGAAGAATTGATGCTTTTGAACTGTGGGTTTGGAGAAGACTCTTGAGAGTCCCTTGGACTGCAAGGAGACCCAACCAGTCCATCCTAAGGGAAATCAGTCCTGAATATTAATTGGAAGGACTGATGTTGAAGCTGAAACTCCAAATACTTTGGCCACCTGATGTGAAGAACTCCAATACTTTCCACCTGATGTGGAAAACACTGATGCTGGGGAAGATTGAAGGTGGGAAAAGAAGGGGACAACAGAGGATGAGGTGGTTGGATGGCATCACCAACTCAATTGACATGAGTTTGAGTAAACTCCAGGAGTTGGTGATCGACAGGGAGGCCTGGCGTGCTGCAGTCTGTGGGGGTCACAAAGAGTCGGACATGACTGAGGAACTGAACTGAACTGAACTGAACTGAACTGAACTGAAGCATCTAGTAAGAGCATTAGGGAGAAAACTAAAAGGGTAAAGAGAGGGAGAGAGATGATCGCCTTAACAAAAAAATCACACACAGGATTTAGTCACTGTGTTGCCTTGTAAAGGGGCAAGAGTGGAAAGGGACACCATTGAACAGTTTGTTGTGAATTACAGGCAACAATGATGCAAAACTTGACTATGATATTCATAGAGATATGACCACATTAACTCTTATAATAATAGAATCAACTTCATATTGTTGTGGGGAAAAATATTTGTTAGTATGAAACAAATGCCTCTGGCACTTATTCAGTGAATCAAAAGAAATATTAACTATTGTAATCATTTTCATTTTGTTGCTATTCCATATTATCAATAACCCAATGTGTACCAGCCACTTGGATCTAATTTCTAAGCTAGTGGAAACTGGTTTTCCAATACATCAAGATTATATCAATATAATCTAGCAAAGTCCTAGAAAGTATATATCCCAAGGAGTTGTTTAAAAGTAAAGATTTTTTTAATTAAAAAATAAAAGTAATTAAATAATAATACGTTTAATAAAATTTAAGTTAAAATATAATTTAAGACATTCAATTTAAAAGTTTTTAATGTTAAGAATTTTTTTTAAGGTTTGGCTATCAGATAAAGATGAAATGCTAAAATTCTTTATAAAGGATTGCAGCTCTTCACCAGTGCTCTAGCTAAAATAGACCATTCTTCAACAATATAAATGTATGACTTAACAGTTTTTACAGTCAAATTCAGCACTACCTAGCTTTCACATCAACATTTAAACCAGTCTTCATTTGCAGTCCCAGGGTTTTACAGATTTAAAAAGGTCACTAAGTTTATTATGACAACTGTTTTGTGTCTACACCTACACTAAAGAAAAGCTCAGTAAAGCTCCCTTTAGGAATGTGCATTTCAACATCATAGCTGTCTAAGAGAATGAGCACAGGAAAAATATAAACTGCATGTAGAAGAACCATAAATTCTGCAGAGACACTAAAGAGCAAATAATTTGCACCTCTTGAATCTGAAAACTTCCGATACTTTAAAATTACAAAGAATCCCTTATGAAGGTAAGCAAGAATCTGGAGAAGAATAAGAAAAAAGAAAAGATGAATAGTAGGATAATGGTAACTAGTTAATAGTAGCTGTTGTTATTAAGTTGAAAACAAGATTTAAATCCAAGTCAATGATTGTAAAGGTTTCATTATATAAAGAAACTATTCCATCAAACTCCTAACTTTTCCATTCATTATTAGATTCTCAGAAAATTTCTGTAATATTTTTTTATAAAGCCCACTTGACCATTGATGTATGATCTCTTTTATTTTAAATTTATTTAATTTTTAATTACAGGATAATTGCTTTACAGAATTGTGTTGGTTTTTGCCAAACATCATCATGAATCCACTGTAGGTTATACATATGTCCCTTCGCTCTTGTTTAAAGAATTAAGACATTTGGGAAAATGCATGAAGAATCTTAAAAATGCTTACAGCTTTTGATTTCATAGTATACACCCATGAGACCATACAGAGAAAAATAAAGAAGTACAGAACAATATTTTGGGCAGTAATTCATAAAATGCAACACTAAAAGTAATTTAAATATCCAAAATTAAGCAATAATTAAATTGTAGTATACATATCATACCATGCCAATCATTTTATCAAACAATACTTAATTACATTCAATCAGCTATAGTATGAGGTTTAGTTGGAAAATATAGGTATAATAAGATCACAGTTTTCTTGTAGGATAAAAATATAAGCTAAAATGCAACTTTCAAAATATATGTCACAATGTGTATTTCATTATAAGAGTGGAATAAAATTAGAATGAAAACACAAGTTTTAGCATAAAGCCCTCAAAGCCCATTTATGTTGTCAAAAATGGCAGGATTCCCTTCTTTCTCATGGATGAATAACATCTCATTCTGTGTGTCTGTATGTGTATTTAGAATACACATCTTTTATGTATTCATTCGTTAATGGCTACTTGATTCTTTCCCTTGGCTCCTGTGAATAATGGTACAATAAACTTGGGCTTCCCTGGTAGCTCAGCTGGTAAAGAATCCACCTGCAATACAGGAGACCCCGGTTCAATTCCTGGGTTGGGAAGATCTCCTGAAGAAGGGAACTGCTACCCATTCTAGTATTCTGATCTGGAGAATTCCATGAACCGTATTAGTCCAGGGGGTCGCAAAGAATCAGACATGACTGAGTGGACTTTCAAAAACATGGGAGCATATATACCTCTTCGCTATCCTGTTTTTATATCTTCAGAATATGCATCAAAAATTGGAATTACCAGATCATATAGTAGACCTATTTTTAATTTTTTTAAACAAACCTTCGTTTTGTTTTCCATGGTGTCTTAATAAATTTACATTCCCACTGACAATGTACAAGCATTCACTTTTCTCCACGTTCTCACCAACAGTTTTCTCCTCCTGGTGGTAAACTTCTAACAGGTGTGAGGTAATAGTTCATTGTAGTTTTGATTTGAATTTCTTTGATAATTAGTGACGTTGAGCATCTTTTCATATACCTAATGGCCGTTTAGATGTCTTCTTTGGAAAATTGTCTATTTTATTTGTTTCCCCATTCTTTAACTAAATTTTTATTTCTGTGTTGTATGAGTTACATATAAATGTAATTCATATATATATATATATGGTTTTCGTGGTGGCTCAGATGGTAAAGAATTCACCTGCAATGCAGGAGACCCTAGTTCGACCCCTGGGTCAGGAAGATCTATATATATATATATATCTATATGTATGTGTATATAAGTATACATATGTAAATCATACAACACAAAAAAAAATATTTAAAGAATGGAGAAAAAAGAAAATAGGCAGTTTTCGAAAGAAGACATCTAAATGGCCATTAAGTATGTGAAAAGATGCTCAACATCACTAAGTATCAAGGAAATTCAAATCAAAACTACTGTGAGCTATCACCTCACACCTGTTAGAAGTTTATATAATATGGGTTTCCCTGGTGGCTCAGATGGTAAAGAATCCACCTATAATGTGGGAGACCCGGGTTCAGTCCCTGGGTGGATAAGATCCCATGGAGAAGGACATGACAACCCACTCCAGTATTATTGCCTGGAGAATCTCCATGGACAGAGGATCATGCCCAGTTACAGTCCATGGGGTCACAAAGAATCAAACACAACTAAGCGACTAAGCACAGCACATGTATATAATCTATATTTATACATATTATGTATAAATATGTATATATGTATGATATTAGCCCTTCAATATGTGGTTTGCAAAATTTTTCTTCCATTCTTTATGCATATTTTTATCTGGCTGATTCTTTTATGGTGGAAAAGCTTGTAAGTTTCATGTAGTTCTACTTATTGACTTTTTCTTTTGTCATGGTTTTGGTGTCATTTCCAAAGAAAATATTTCCAAAACCAATGTCAAGGAGCTTTCTCCCTATGTTTTCTTTTAGGAATGTTATAGTGTTTGGCCTTATTTTAAGTCTC